CGTTGCATAGTCGACAAGTTTGATCCTCAGCTTGTCCAATGTGGAAGAAGTGGTATTTTAAGGGCGCATGCTCGGTCAGGTAACCTGAGAGCGGCCTTAGATAGGGGTTTTATGCCCCTTTGCTGAGGCATAAAACCTCTTTGGTTTTGTTTTGCGACGGAGTCATCATCATACTCTTCGGTTGTCTGTGACCTGGAAGTTCTTTCCAGCGTAAGGCTATCTTTGAGGCCTCCCAACTGTTGATTATTTGTTTTAGGTGGCTTTTTTGTAGTCCACAACCAGGTTGGGATCCAATGATTGCCCTCAATGTTACTGTGACCTGGAACCCACCATAGGATAACATCATTGCTCCTACCGAGTTCTCTCAGGTTGTTGGTACACTCTCTGATCAGTGCGGAGTCACACGTGTACGCCTACATTGCCTATAGGGCAATGCACCTTTCTCTCCCTTTTGTAGGTTCAAAGCGATGCAGAAGTTTATAGCAAGAAGTTCTGTTTGAAAAATGGTAATGTCCGTGCTGATGGGCAGTTTAATGTGGCTCTTTGGACCACTGATGCCCATGCCTACTACGGATCTAACTGTCTTTGAAGCATCGGTGTACCAGGCTAGGGCTCAGCGAACGATAAAAATACATTTCATTTTGTCCAGATTATTAACCTGGATAAATATGAATCTTGTTTGGCCTGGTCTGCCAGGTTATTAAAAGCCGTTATAATTTCCAGCTTTTCCTCTTCCGAAAAATTTCTAACGCATCGTTTGCTGCACTTGCAGTCATTGCCTTGCTCTCTTTCTGGCACAAGCTTCCCCGTTGATGTGGACTTGTAACATTGTCCTCTAGCCCTTTTAATTTTTTGTATATTTCGTTTCCATTTTTCCACATTTCTTTTACGACCGCGCTTCCGTTTTACCCTTTCTCCTCTTCAGATCTTTCACTATCCATTTTAGTAAAATCACATTCACTGGAAGCGCAAAACATTGCGAATGACATTATAAAACATTAATTTTTCAATACCACCAACATAAAAAATTTCAATATTGTTCTCACGGTACAAGATAATCATTATTTATTTTTATTATTTATGTGCGGTGGACAATTGTATGGGATTGTCTGGTGCAATAACGGTATAAACGCTATTATTGCACCCGTCTAGAACATTTTCTCTCACAATTCTAACTCAGTTGGCAGAACATAATGCGTATTTATATTAAACGATAAATACGAATTTTTTTAACCGTTTTTAACTAAAATCCCATTTTCTTAAAATTTGGAATTCTTGAACCAGGCTCTTCAATTGTGGAAATTATTTTTTCTAAAGGGGTTGTTACTGCTTTATATTGCTGTTGAAGCAAATGTTCAGATTTACGTTTCCTTGCTTTTAATTTATCCAATTTCTTTTGCACATTTGCTCTTGTTTTAATAAGCTTTCATGTTAGTTGTTTTGAGTCCATGTTGTCTGTACAATGAATGAACGGTTACTGACTAATGCATGTGCTTACTGTAGACTTTTATTGAAACTATTCAGGCCGGTTTTAACCGACCCGTTTTATCCGACCGGTTTTAACCGATCTGTTTTATCCGACCGGTTTTAACCGATCTGTTTTATCCGACCAACCGCATTTATCGGTTGTAACACCGATACTTTTTCGGATTCTTCAAACCGAAACCTAACTTTCGTTTTACTTTCATCGCATTAGTAACAAACCATACGTTAGCTTCTTCACCAATCGATGAATTTTTCGCTAATACTCTTTTCCATGCTTCTTCTGCTAATACTTTATCTGCTTTATGTCGATTGTGTAAATCTGTGTATTGTGTATAGGCTAAATCATGACGTTTACATGCTCTATCAAGGTCATTAATACCAGGATCTCCACGTGCTAAGCGTTTCATGAGATTTGTCCCCGGTCCACAGAACTGATAGCCCGGTAATGCAGCTCTCCACCTGTTCGTATCACTAACATGACTGATATAGAAACATACACAATCACAGTTTTATATAGTAATGAAACCCATTACGATATCTACCATTGTTCATATCGTCCTCCTTACTGATTACAAAAAATCCAAATCTATCTTTCCAACACATTGAACACATTTTCTTAAAGACATTGAATTTCATATCGGTTGTTACATGATCATTATAAATATGTTTTAAATTTAGATTATCTTGTTTGAAAAGTATTAAAAAGTTTGCATTATCACGTATTAAATGCTTTGGAATATGTGTGTAACTTTGACATAAATAAAAACTATCTATTGCCTTATGTCGTCCCATACAAAAATAATCACGAATAATTGATTGTTTATCGCATCAGCTACATCATCAAATATAAAAACCGAATCTTCATTCGCTTTAGAAGGATGCATTATGTCATCACTACTGCTATACTCATAATATCCTAAACCTTTTATAGGCTGCAGCAATTTTCTCAAATATTCATATTTGTTTTGATACAATGACTTTGAATACACATACACATTTTTAAATGATAGTCCATTAGGATCCTGTAATAAGCTAATTATCAGATTTGTTTTACCAAAGTTAGAAGGTCCTGTTATTATACAACGTAGATTATTTGGAAATAAATAACTATGCTTTCTGTTTTGAGGTGATTGATTATTATTAAATTGCATTGTTACATCATCAACATTTAATGTGTAAGGTTGTTTTATCACTTTCATGTTTATTGTATAACTAACTATTATTGTTTTATTTGAAATTTTGAAACGTCGAGTGAACGAGCGTAAATGCGATAGAACTTCATTCAAAACTTAATTTGAAAAACAATATTAATAGTAAGAAAAACACGGACATTTAAACGTCAAAAATATTTCTGACAAAGATTGCAAAGCCTACTAAGATTTTTTCATTAAAAATTCATTCCAACTTTTGATCGACAACCCCGTTGTTTAACGGGCAGTGTTGGCTTTAGTATGTTTTTTCTCAAAAATTAGTCGTTTTTGGAAAAATTTTAAAGAGACAAAAAAGTTTTAGGATACTTTCATCTACCTATGTAAAATTTTTCTAATGTATTAATCATCTGCATAAAAAAAAATTTAGCAAAAATGTAACGGGGGTGGTTATGTTTAGTAGGTTAGAAGGGTAGGTTGAAAGTACAAATAGGGTCAAAACGTGCCCTATTATGAGTTAAACATATTCCCCAAATTTCATTTTCCTAGCGTTTATGGTTTTTGAAAAAAAAAATTAAACCAAAATTTTCCGCCATTTTTGAAAGGGTGTAGCTCCTTAGGGGAGCCGAAGTCGCCCACGGTTCATACATTAAAGTACCTTTAAAATTGCCTAAAGAATCACCCCTGAAGTTTGGGCACATCATTCAGATACACCCTGTATACATATATTTTTTCATGAGGATAAATTAAAGTGTTCTCAGACTTGTGTAGTGTTTATTTCCTACAGGAGGAGCGCAGTTTCAGGCAGTTCGGTTTGGATTTACATTAATTTCTTCGGCGAGGCAACCTAATTCTCAGTGGATCTCTCTCTTCTTAGTCTCAGTGGAAAGTTCGTATGAGACTCCGGTATTTCTTTAGTTTAAATTAAATTGTTTAATTAATAATTATTAAATAACTATTATTCGATCGGATTAAATTTAAGTGTTACACTTTTTAACGGATTACTCTTCTCAATATGAACGCTTTAACCCTTAGTAAGTCGTTAATGTTTTATTTTTCATATTAACTCGTAAAGAATGTAACTAATTGCTTTAGCCTTTTCTGATTTGGTATGAACCTCTACGTACAATTCGATATTCTTCTTTTTATTGTTCTTTTTATTAAATTGATCAGTTTTGTAATTGTTGAACTTAGATTTTTTAATGTTTTTAGTTAAATTTGGTTATAAATATTTCCAAGTAAGGTCAGGAAAATTACTAGAATAAAATTTGTTTTGTTGTTCATCATTATACAGTTTTCGAGTTATTTTTGTAGCTAAACTTTGTTTGTTCCAATTTATTTCAACTTTAATTCTGTTTATTAATTTGAGTCCAACCCATTCCCCATTTCCAAACAATAACCTTTTCCAAACTGCAGAGGACTAGTGTATTTGGCCCGTGTACACTTTTCGCACAGAAAACGTTATTAAGATCCCACTTTAACATTTATCCACTCCATGGTTTGAATATTTGAATGGCAACTTTAAATCTTTTGCCATTTTTCATTAATTTAATTTTTTAATTTTTAATAATAACATCATTTTCTTCATTGAAATAAATAGATCCTTTCCCCTAAAATGCAGAGGACTAATGTAATCTCCCTTCATTCCTACTTTTCCTACAAATCTAAAAACTCCCCTTTATTAAAACTAGTTAAAAATACACTTTATTATCCACCCCCACCCTCTTTACAAAATATTATTAACTTATTAAATATTAAATATTATTATTAAAATATATTCAAAATAATTGACACTTAAAAAATTAATTAATATAATAAAATCAATTAAAAATTTGCATTCAAATTTTTTCAATACATTTTCATAATTACGCACCTGTATTATAATATAACTTAGAGGTCACAAAAAACGTTGATCTGCAAGTTTCTCTCTCTCTTCAATAACAAGTTTCGGAAACCATTTTGTTTAATGGTGATAAATGCGCATCGCCTCAGTTGGAAGTTTTTAATTTGTTTTGTTTAACGTTAATCACTTTAACTAGATTTGAATGTTAACTTTTACATCATAATTTTGACGCAGTAAGTAATACATATTTTAACTTCATTTTATTATAACTTCTATTTAGAAGAGAATTTTTTACAGGTAAAAATAGTTTAAATTGATTTAAAACATCCTTTGTGACGTCTCTGATGATGTCGAAACATATTAGACTATGAATTTAAAATAATAAAAAAACCAATAAAAGTACAGATTACAACTTTTCATTTATTATTAATTTTAGTTTATATTTTATTTTTTTCCTACTGTTTTGGTTAGATTTTAATTCATAAAATGTATTATTTAAATTTAACTTGATTTCTTTTATTTAAGTTTAATTTCATTTAACTTTGCTCCCTAAATCCAAGCCGGCGTAATAAGGTTCTGCTTGCCGCATAAGCCTTTAGCACGTCCATACAACATAGTAAGAGCCGCTCCTTAGAGTTGGCCGGACTAGAGTGTAATTTCGAAAAATAATTTTTATTATGAAAGGTTGCGTCTCTAAACATATCTCGAAAATTCAATAACAATTGGTACATTCCATTTAAAATAACGAAGTTGGGGTCCATCCGGTATAACCGGAGAGTTGGAGAAAACTGAATATATTTTAGCTGAAACGAGCACCTCGGATAAACGCTATATGTAAATTTTCAAAAAAATAGTGCCAATAGTTTGCCACATACATCTAGACTCAGCTCGTCATGACAAACTATGTACTCGCTCACGCGCATTCTTCTTCCCTATAAAGTCGAGCCTCCAACACATGCGTGCTAACGACAACCAGAGATTGACGATTGGTTACCGAGACCGACGGCTTAACGTACCCTCCGAAGGACGGGGGGCGACTGAACGTGCTTTCGCAACGTGATTTGAGAACTCTGGACGTCTGCATGTTAACTTGAGAGCTAACACGCTGAGCCAGCATGCCCCATTATCAATATTTAAGACTAAGTTTAGTGTAACACTCCTTGTAATTATTATTTGTAGGTAATAGTTTTATGAAATTTTCTCCTAAAAGATCGTTAGAACCGTCTTCAAAAGTTCTCATGTATGAAATCAGGTGCGCACGATTATAAGTTTAGTAGAAAATGAGACTATAAATATGATTAGTTTTTGAATATATTTAAACACATTACATTAACATTTCTGATATTTGTTAACGAGAACTTCGTATCAATAATAATTACAAGGTAAACTTTTATCAACTGGTAAATTATTACTTAAGCACTTTATGACTCGCATGGTAAACATAGCTGCCTATTTAACGTTACCTTTTCTTTCGACCAAATACAACCTTCTGAGTTATTATTATAAATATTTTTAATATAAAGTGTTATATTATACTTAGTGTCCTCAAGAAGTAATCTATTACTTCCAGTATCATCTCCTATATGTACAGTAATTGGTTTGTGTTTTGATATGATATTTTTCCATGCAACCCAACTGAGGTGATTTTGAGGTACTTGAACTGCTTTCAAAAGCTTTTCATCGGATAATGAAAATAGGTCCAACTGCAGTTGAGATTGGGTTGAAAGCTTTGTAACTATCACAGCTATGAACCTAAAAAAGAAAAGTGATCTTTACTAAAATTATTTATTATGAGAATTAGTCACCATTCAACATATTCATCCATTTGTATCCCTGGTAAATTAAGCTCTATACTTGAAAGCTCGGATTTGAGCTCAATAGCAGTTACATCTATTAGTGAAATTGAATTTGGTTTGGAAGGTGTGCATAGGTTTTTTCTAATATTGAAGTGGTTATGCCAATTTTGATTTGGTACTCCACCACCAGTTGTTTTCTTTAATTTAGATTTCCACTTTAGTATCTGTACGATAAAATATTATAATAATTTTTGTAATCGACAATGTTATAACGAATAATCAAACTTAATGTAAGTCAAACATACTTGGAACTTATTTTCAATTATTTTATGATTGTCCTTCCCGTAATGATTTAAGCCAGCTCGTCTATCGCCGTGCTGGTACACTGACGAGATAATCCACTCGTTGTCATAAAAAGCTTTCCCTATATATCTTGGAACTTCTTGCTCATAACCAGCCGGAACGAGTTTATTTAATAAATCTCCTTGTATAGCTTTAACACTAATAGTCTCCCATTCTAGCAGTTCCGGTTCAGATGTACATAAAATCTAATTAAATATATACATACATATAGAGCAAAAGTAACACAGAGCAATATTGTTAACTTTATAATGTGCAACAACTTTTGTTCTAAAAGATTTTTTGTAACATGCTCCGAATCCCGTGTATTATCACTAACAACTTGTAAAACAACGAAGTCATCTAATTTTCATATATTCGTATTTTTGTAGATATGCAAGACTACACTTTATGTAAAAATCGTTATGATTATTAGTTGTAGGTAATAGTTTTTTGAAATTTTGTGCTAAAAGATTGTTGGAACCGTCTCAAAAAGTTCTCTTGTTTGAAATCAGTTGTGCACGGTTATAAGTTTACTAGAAAATGAGGCAATTAATTAAATGTTACCATTAACAATTTATAAAACTACAAATTCATCTAACTTTCATATTTTCGTATTCTTCTCGATTTTTGTTCATCTGAGAGCAAAAGGAAAGAGAGCAATTTTGTTAAGTAAAAATTTGCTGCAACTTTTGTTCTAAAAGATTTTTTTGTAATATGCTCCGAATCCCGAGTCCAATGTTAATAATTACAGAGCACGTAATAGTTAGATGAAGTTATATAGACTACAGCTAATCTACCCTAGCTTATTTACCATAATGTTTTCCATATCATCGATATCTTCTGTACGGTCATTAGTAGCAGCGGAAGCCGTCTTGCTTATAGAATTAACAGTGGCCGGATAATAACTAATACTTTTATCTGAAGATAAAAACAATGCAATTACTAATTATACAATTCGACAAATTACTATTAGAAAACGAATTTCTATTTGTAAATAGACCTAGGACAAGGGTATCGACTAGTCTACAATGGAACGGTTAACAAGCAGAATGGCGTCGCAGTCGTGCTTAACGGCTAGTTTAGAAACAAAAAATCAATAACATCGACACCAAATCAGACTATCATAAACGTTGTCTGCGTGGATGCAACTCAGACGCGGCGTACGGAACCGGAGAACGAGTTAATCTCACTCTAAACCTGAATGAACTCACTCGGCACCTATGGGTTGGGTTGAGAGGGAAAATTTTGGTACAATTTGATGTATTATATATTATTCGAATTTAAGCCGCATTATATTTATTGTAATATTATTATAATCATTCATGAAAATGGGGTGCGTCTTAGATTCGAGCGTATACGGTGATATAAAATGCTGTGAAAACTACTGATTCTTATTTATTAACATGATATGGAATGAAGAACATCTGATTTTGAGTTATACAGGGTGTATCTGAATGACTGCAACAAACTTCAAGGGGTGATTCTTTAGTGAATTTTAAGGGTACTTTGATATATGAACCATGGGCGAGTTCGGCTCCCCTAAGGAGCTACACCCCTCCAAAAATGGCGAAAAATTTTGGTTTAACTTTTTTTTCTCAAAAACCATAAACGCTAGGAAAATGAAATTTGGGGAATATGTTTAACTCATAATAGGGCACGTTTTGACCCTATTTGTACTTTCAACCTACTCTTCTAAGTTACTAAACATAACCATCCCCGTTCAATTTTGGTCTAGATTTTTCTTATGACGGTGATAAATACATTAGAAATATTTTATTTAGATAGATGAAAATATTCTAAAACTTTTTTGCCTCTCTGATGTTCTTCGAAAAGGTAATAGTTTCTGAGAAAAAAATTAATTAAGCGAACACTAACTGTTAAGCTGTAGGGTTGTTAATCGAAAGTTGGAATGAATTTTTATTGAAAAAATTTTAGTAGGCTTTGCAATCTTTGTCAGAAATAGTTTTGACGTTTAAATATCAGTGGTTTTCTTACTATTATTATTGTTTTATTTAAAATTGTGAAACGTCGAGTGAACGAGCGTAAATGCGATAGAACTTTATTTGAAAAATAATGATAATAGTAAGAAAAACACTGACATTTAAACTAAGATTTTTTCAATAAAAATTCATTCCAACTTTTGATCAACAACCTCGTTGTTTAACGGGCAGTGTTTACTTTATTATTCTTTTTCTCAAAAATTAGTCGTTTTTGGAAAAATTTTAGAGAGACAAAAAGTTTTAGGATACTTTCATCTACCTATGTAAATTTTTTTTAAAAGTATTTACCATCTGCATAAAAAAAATGGTTCATATATCAAAGTACCCTTAAAATTCACTAAAGAATCACCACTTGAAGTTTGTTGTAGTCATTCAGATACACCCTGTATACTCAAAATCACAATACAAATTTTACAAATAAAATTATGTTTAAATTAAATTTTTTTTTAATAATAGTAGCGCACTGTAGGATAGTTTATTTTTTTACGCGAAAACTATTAACTGTAGGAAAAAACTAAAGAGATAAAAAGTACCATTAAAGAATGAGCTTTACAACTCATATTTTCTCATGTTAATACTCGATGGTGTTAAAAAGTTCTTATAACAAATGCACAGGGGTTGTGAATTTAATCTCTTTAGTGGGCGATAGGGAAACTTACGGTATGCTTAAAAATAAGGTGTTAACCAGTAGTAAATACATAAAGAATTTCAAATTCTTCTCTTTAGTTATAGCCGAAATAAAAAATAAAATGTAAATTTTTGGCTCAATTTTGACCGCGCATAGCTCAAAAACAAAACAGTGTTAACCCTCTGCTAGATTTGCGGTATCACTGTTGTTATTCGTGGATTTATATACGGTTTTACACAAATGAAAACAACAACAAATTTTTAAACAATATACGTGTGCCCCGGCTTGTGTCCCCGTAAGGTATAATTGACGATAAATTTTTGAATTCAAATTCCATCTTTTGCGATTAAAGTCTGGATGTCATAAAACGAAATTTAACCAAGTTTTACGTCAAATGTCCTCAAAGTACCAAAGTTAACGCAAGAAGTTTGTTAACCGTTGCAGGTAAAGTGGTCTTTCTCAGCAATGTACAACAAAAATTAACTAAGATAAAATGGTTGTTATATTAAATTATAGCGATATGCCGAATTTTATTAATTTAGGATATAAAAGCAAAACGCAGATTTTTAAATCATAAGATTAACAAAACATTTTTGATCTAAACTAAATTAACATACTAACACTAACACATAATTCAAAACTTTTCCGACATTGTTTATAGCTTTTTCTAATATGGTCCAACGGAATTTTTCTAATAACAGTTTCAACATTTTGTTTTAAACGGTCTAAATTGTTATTAAAATTTTCAGTGTACACTTTAAAATAAAAATCCATAATAGATAAATCCGGACTTCTTGGCGGCCATGGTTGCGGACCATATCTACCAATCCATTTTATTCCAAATAACGTATTTAAATAATTTTTAATTTAATGTGGGCCGCAACCACCTTGTTGAAAATATAATTTATTGCGTTTTTCTAAATCCACGCCGTGAAGATAATTAAATAAACAATTTTCTAGTATTTCCAAATGTCGGTGTTGATTCAAATTGCCGTTTATGAAGTAAGGCCCAATAACACCGTCCCACGAAACAGCACACCACACATTCACTTTCTGGGAATACTGGCGTTTGCAAGCTATGCGATATGAGGATTAGTCTTTGACCAGAATCGACAATTTGGTGATGTAACCACTCCATTACTAGAGAACGATGCTTCGTCCGAAAATATTATGTTTTTTAAAAAAGTTCTCTCTTTCAAAATTGTGTACCCAAGCCACAAACAATAATCTAAACGTTTTGCTTCATTACCTAATTCGATAGTGTGGTTAAATTTTGGTTTATACGGCAATATTTTATTTTCTCGATAAATTCTTTGTAAATGGGATTTACTTATACCGACTTGAACTGCCCTTTTTCTTAACGACACCTTACCGTAATCCATTGCGTTCGTTACTGCAACAATCGATCCCGCATCATGTTCATCTAAAAGTTTTCTCCTTCCTTTTATTTTCCACATTGCCCGTTTCCGAAAATTTTTTAACAACTCTCTTAATTGTTTTTTTATTGTAACTATAGTTGCATTGTAACTAATGTTCGCCAATCCATAGCAATGCACTATAAATATTTTATGTTGTAATGTAAACATGATCAATTAATACATATTTGACAATAGGCTAAAACTAAGCTATCAAATGATAATTGTTAGTTCACTCAGATCATTTGTTTTTATTGTAAAACGGAATATTAGAAACAAATTTTCAAGAAAAAACTCATCTCTTTTTATATAATAATAATAATAATATATAGTTTATTGCTCCATTGAAAACAAGTACAAAAGAAAAGAAATACAAAAAAAAAAAGACTTAATAGTAACAAGAACTTAAAGATAACAAAATTAAAAACAAAATTGAAATTATAATAGAGCAACCGTATGGTGCGCATTCAGCAGAAAAAAGCTGATCTTCCATGCGCCCATAATCCAACCAGTAATGATCGCACAAGGATACAGCACAAAAATCATATTTAATTACGGAAACAAAGCCAAATTTTCTTTTTCTTAGCTAAATCAAGAATTTGTTAATTGAGCGCGAAACAGTTTTTTAAACATGGCTAACCTAATTGAGCCCACCGAAATTGCTGATGGATGAAAACCCGCACCGAAAATGTACATGTTGTATAACTTAAAAATTTGGTAAGTGTAGCTATTTTTGAAACGTTCTGTCTTATGAAACGGAGGTGATAATGCTCCCTTAAATCTCATATTAATTGTATGTACATCGGACCGCCAGCGGATTTTATCAGTTAGGTAAGGAGGCACACCCGTAACAATTATTTTATAAAAGAGAACAATAGTATGCATTGTTCTTCGATTATGCATGTTAAGCCAATTAAGCTCCTCCAATTTATGACTCACATGATCTCTCCGTCTCAAACCAAAAATCAAGCGTATACATGAGTTCTGTATTTGTTGCACTCTCGCTCGCAGCTGAGAAGTCAAGAACGGAGAGTACAGTGCATCGGCATAATTAAAATGGGACAGGACTAAGGAATCACAGAGCATGATTTGCAACTTTCGGGAAAGATAATGTCTCATGTTATATAATTTTTTCATGTGAATAAAAGCCTTTTTTAGACATAAATTTATATGGTCGCGAAAGCTCAAAGCCTCGTCTAGCACAACTCCCAAATTTTTTACTTTTTCCTTTACCTCTAAACGATCTCTATTCAGTGTTATCTTAATCCTATCCTTTACTCTATTTCTAAGCCTTCGCGGACCAAATACAATAAGCTCGGTTTTGCTACTGTTAATTTGTAGTCCATGTCGCTGGGAATAATCCAATATCGATGACAAATCATTCTCAAGCCGACCACATAACTTATCCAACTCCGTTTCCTTACCCGATATATAAATCTGGGTGTCATCAGCATAATAGTGATATTTGGAGTATTTTAAGCAGGTTGATATGCTTCTAACATAAATAGAAAACAACAGTGGTGACAATATAGACCCCTGTGGACACCCAGAAGTAGATACCAGAAAATCTGACCTACTGCCACCTAGGCTCACGGCTTGCTCTCGCCCAGCAACATATTCACTAAGCAAATTCAATGCCTTAGGTCCAACACCATTGTGATACAATATAGCAAAAAGCAGCTGATGATCGATCATATCAAAGGCTTTACTGTAGTCTATAAGACATAGGATAGTTATATTATTGTCATCTGCAGCCCTCAAAATATCATCCACTACACACAAAAGTGCTGTGGTGCAGCTAAACCCCGATATAAAACCCGACTGTACTTGAGACAAAATATCCTCACACGAAACAAACTGATTCATTTGTTGCCACAATAGTTTTTCACACACCTTAGCAAAACAGGGAGAATCGGTGTCAGGCTGAGGAGAATCAGGCTGATCGGTCGTAAGTCCGAAATTACGGGGTTGGATTTTTTTGGTACAGGTATTACCAACGACCTTTTCCAATCGATAGGAAATTTCCCATCAACAATACATGTATTTATAATATTTACTAGCTGCGGCAAACTATGAGGACAACACATTTTCACAGCCTTTATATTCAGCCCGTCCCAGCCGGTAGCGGTCGACTTAATCGAGTTAATCGTCATCATCACCTGGTCCTCAGACACCAATTGAAACTCAAAAACATTCAAGAGACGTCGACAGCTCATATAGTATCTGTAGGTGTTAGGATGTACATGATGCACAGGAAGTGAAGCTTGTAAGAAATATTTATTGATATCATCGGGATTTTGTAAGTTCACCGGCAGTTCATTTTTTATCCTTTGGATTACACCTAAATTATTCAAAGCTTTCCATGGATTTTTTATATTTTGGTTAAGGTGATGCTGGAAATATGCTTTTTTTCCC